AAAGGCTTTCAATATTTAGATCTTAATTCCGTGTTGGGGATTTTCTTTAAAAAATTGAATGGTTTACAAAAATATCAGCATTTTGTATTCGAAGCAGCGCGACCTGATATTGTCAAAGCCCAACTGATTGCTAATGGTGCTTTTACTGAATTTAATTTATTGAAAAGCAGAAAAGCAAGCGTTTCTGAAATTATCAAAGAAATTAAATCCTTTTCTGTTTTAGTTCTAACTCCGCCTCCTTTGGATTACAAAAGACAAGAATATCTTAATATTCGCCCATTTGTTAGAGACGAATTCAAGGATATTACTTGTCCCAAACCAATCTATACTGATAATGAATAAAAATATTACAGTCAACTGTAAATTTTATTACTTTATTAGTTTTCGTTTGTTCTATAAATTCTTTATATTTAATCTTTTAATGATATTAATATTAAAATTATAATATATATGATATAATTGAAATCATGGCATTCAATAAAAATGATATAAATACAATAAATGAAGCAAAGGAATACTCCAATTATTATGGAGGAGTCCTTAAACCAGAAGAAAAGGCTATCTTTTATAGTAATCTTTTAAAACCAAATGGTACTTTGGATAAAACACTCCTTCAAGATACTGCTCAGTTATTAAACAATTGAAGAAAAGCTAAAGAAATAATAAAAACTGAAAAAATGGGTTTAAGTTCAGCTTCTCATACTTTATTGGCTGCCATCTTAAAAGAACAAAAGGTGAAACTGTTTCTTATCAAATAGTTAATAATCTAGACAATAATCAATTAAGATCATCACTCAATTTGATTTGCTGAATATGATCCTGAATTTGATCAAAAAATAGAAGAGGCAGCACTTAAAATTAATGATTTGAAGGAAAAAGGAGAAGCTATTGATAAAGAAATTAAAGAGTTAAAAAAGAAATATAATGATTTACTAGAAAAAAAACAAACTGTTTTAGAAACTAAGATTAATACAGCAATTGCTGCTTTAAAAAATGATTTTAGAACTGTTAGTACAGATGATCACAGGTTTTTTAAAGAAATAATTAAGAGTAATAAAATTATTTCAGAAGAAAAATATAAATCTGATACCTCTGCTATTCCTGATGAAACTTATAGTTCAGTGATCAAAACTAATATTAATATTAGCAGTAATGGTAAATCTTATATTAATACCATTTATTTAAGTATGAATTTTCAAGATCAAATTTGAAAAATTCTTAAAGAAGTTGATAAAGATAAACTTTTTGAATATATTAGTTCTTCAGATTATTCTTGAAATACTAAGAATAAGAAAAAGTCTAAAAGAATATTTTCTTGAGTTGTAAACTTAAAATTAAAACTTTTTAACTTTGATAATAAAAGTATAATAACTAGTGTAAGTAATGAGAGATATGTTAAAGAAGATATAGAAACTTACTAATATATAAGTGATATTTTCTATATCATGCATGCTCTCTTTCCTAAAAATAAAGTTAGTGAATGAAAAAGTAGTTCTTTCTTAAAAATTAGTCAAAAGAGTTATTTACAATTTAATAATACAGACAAGAGTATTAATACTTCTTATACTATATATTGATGAGAAAAAAGATACTAGTATTATTAAAAAAAATTATGTTACTTCTTCTGATAGTAGTGTTAATATTATGAGAGCTCTTTTTTCTTGTGAAGTAAAAAAATTAACTTGAGTGAATAGTCAAATTTCTGAATTTTTTTGACAAGTTTATGATAATGATAAAGTGATTGATTTTAGTGTCTGTCATATAGTATTAAGTTCTGATGCAATTAATAATGAAGTAATTCAAGAGAAAATATCTGTTTATGAGAATAAAGTTTATCTTAAATATTCTTTACTTGCCAATAGTAATATTTTAATTAATAAATATGAAAAATATGTTAAAAATTTACTCAAAGACTTAACAGAAATAGGTACTACTATTATTATCTTTCAAAAAGAAGAATTAGAAAGTCTTCAAGATGAGTGAAGAGTTATTATTTGAGAAATTTTATCAACTTTTAAAAATAAAACCTTTTTAATTTTCTTTAGAAGAGCAAAAATTTGAAATATGAAGATATAAAAGACAAAATTTCTATTTTTTCTTCTTATACTATTAAATTAATAGAGACATATCCAGAAAATAAAATAGTTAACAAATTTGATAATGATATGATAAATAAAAATAGTACAATCAATAAATAAAATAAATAAGTAAGAATTATTTTTACTAAAAGAAAAGTTTTAAATATAGTAAAGGCTAAATTAGATGCAAAGTGGAGTGAATTAGTTAAAGTTAATATTAAAAAAGATAAAATTAATACTGAAAAAGAAGTAATAAAAGATAAAAAAATAAAGCCAAAAAAGATAAAGTAAGTGACTTGATAATCCAATTTAAAATATTATAAGATAAATCAAAAATGAAAAGTTATTACAAACTATTATTTATACACAATATTTTGGAATAGATTAAAAAGTAAGAAATTTAAAAATAAATAATACTTTTGATTCTGATGCTAAACTAGCTAAATTAGATATTAATGAAACTAATAATCAAGATATTCTAGCTAAATATAATAATTAAGTCAAATATAATACTCACTTTATGAAAAGATTAGAAAACTAAAAAAAAGATAATGGCAAATACTTTAATGAGAAAGTAATAAGAAATTATTTAATTAGTATAAAAGATTCTTTAGAATTCATAAATTAAGAGTTAGATTCTATAAAACAGAATGAATTAGATTAACTCACTTACTATATTAAGAATAGTAAAGTTCTTACTAAAAGAAAAATTCTTTTAATGGAACTAAAAGAAGCTTTAGGAATCAAAATTAATGTATTTAGTAATCTAACTAAAAAATGAATTACTTATTCATAAAATATTGATTTTAAAATTAAGACCAGTAAAATTAAAAAACTAGCTGATAAAGTTAATAGTAAAGAAGCTAAAATTATTACTGCCAATCTCATTAAATACTGTAAAGAAACTTTAGCTAAAAGATCAGAATTAATAGATAATATTTATAATTTTCCTAATAAAAATGATAAAGATTAAACTAATTCTTTACTCAGAATTTAGAAGTAGTAGTAGAAACTAATTAGACTAAATCTGATTATGTATAGAGATGATAATAATTTTACAGAAGAAGAAATTATTAAATATTATACAAAAAAGTTAAGAGAATAAAATTATATCAAGAAGTACTATGAAAAACCTTTTGAAGATAATCAATAAGAAGATTTCTGAAGAATTAATAATTCTTCTACTTGAGCAACTGGAGAAGAAATTCTTTTATTACTAAGTAATTTTGATTGAGCCATCTGGAAAAGAAAATTTCTGATTTAATGATAAAACTTCTCTATTAAACTAGAAGATAATGATAATAAAGAGGATGATAATTAATAATAATTTGATTGTTTATTCTGTCAGTCTTCTTTTTTTCTTGATTCATCATAAGTTAGGATTAAGATTTATTTCTTTTTGATAAATTTTATAAGTAATTTTTTCTTGATCTAGATAGTTCTGAAGAGTTTGAATATCATTGATTTTAAAAATATAAGAAGCAATTTTTTTTTCTTGAGCTTTCTTTAGAATATTTCTAATAGTACTATAATTTTTTGATTCTATAATGAATTTAATGTAAATTAGTTTCATATACTTTATTTTTATATAGAAATAGTCCTATATTACTCACATTATGATTTATATTTATCATATTCTGGTATGATAAAGAGAATATTAAAATTAAGTTATGAATATATTATTATTACTTTTAAAATATTATGGTTATTCTGATTAATTTTATAGCTATATTATAATTAGCTCTCATTTATATCACATGATCAAATATTTACTTTGTCTGATTTTATTATAATTTGCTCTATATAATTATTTTCTGAATCATTTTGAATAATAATACTGATATTTCCAGTATATTCAGAGTCAATAGTTCTATCTTCAATATTGATTTCTTGTTTTACAAGAAATAAGCAAGATATTACTTGATATATAACTCCTACAGAAATTTCTATAATAATATAGATATCTATTAATATGACTTAATATGAGAGAATTCTAATTATTTCTTTTCCAGTATAATAAATATTATATCCAGTATCAGTAAGATATGCTTTTTCTGATAATTTTCCTTTATCTTGATTATTATAAATTTTAACTATATAATATCTATTATTTTATTTTATAAAGATATTCTTTAAATAGTTATCAAATTATTATGAAAGTTCATTAAGAGCTTGATAAATAATGCTGAATTTTTTATGTATCTTATTTAATTCAAGTTGAGGAAATTAAGTGGAAATAGGAGTAAAGCTAATTTCTTTACTTAATTCATTTGTTATTAATTCTTCTGGAATTAGTTTCAAAGTTATAGAATATTTTTCTTTATCTAATTTTACTAGAAGTTTAGATTATATACAATTATCATATTTATCATTATTACAAGAAATTAAGTATTCTTGACAGAGTTTCATATTAATATAATTTAAATAAGCAAGTTGTTATTTTTGATTAGGACTGAGTTATTGATAAATATATTAAAATATTTTAGCAACAAAAGCTTCTACAGAATCCTCATAGATAATTTTATGAACAAAGTTATCTTTATATATAAAGTAAGATAGAATTGTTTTGTCAATTTTATCATATTCTTCATAAACTTCTAATAGTATTCCTCTTTTTCTAAGCTTATTAATTATTTTGATATTCTTTTTTCATTCTTCATAATTAAATTAATAAATATATTAATGTTTATAAGTACAAAAATATTTCTTTTCATAATTTCAGTAATAAATATTTCTCTGAATTTATTACATTCATTACATTAAGAGCAGGCAAGAAGATTTAATTATTTTTCTCTGATACAGTCATCAAAAGCAATTACTTTTTCTCCATTCATTTTGAAATATATTCCAGTATAATATTTGTCTACATATTTTTCATATTTATGATATCTTTCAATCTGAGAGTTGGAATGAATTTGTTGTGTAATAGATTGATATTTATCAAAACTTTTCTTAACTTTTTTATTAATGAAGAGTTCTTGTTCAACTTTATCAGTTCAATCTTTATTGGTTTTGAATTCAGTATGAAAAGATTTATGAATTTTGATTATTATCCAATTAGCAAGATTATTATAGTATCAACAATATTGATAATTAGATATAAAGAGATTTCTATAGCATTAGTATTGACTATTTGATTCTTGTCAGTCAAATAACTATTAATTATTCCAATTATATTATTAAGTAAACTTCTTGTCAAGTCATTTAAAATCTTTTCAAGTATATTTCTTCTATTTAATTTTGATTTCTTCTTGATAAGCTTGTACTTTATGAATTCTTTTAATATTTTAGATAATTTGAAATGATATTTCTACAAAGTTAATATTTTTTAATCTTCAGTTTAGAGTTTTAATAGGTGTTCAGACTTCTTTAATGATAATTTCAATACTATTATTATCTTGAAATTCTTGTTGTCTAGGAGTTATAGTATTCTAGTTATCATGTTGTCATATAAGAAAAATCTTTTTCTCCAAGTATTATTTCTCAAATTCACTTTCAAAATCTTCTTCAGACTTTTCTTCTTTAGAATTTATATCTTTAAATATTAGTTCTCCTCTATTATTATGAATAAATTTAATTGACACTTTTCTTTTTTGATTATTATATTCAAAAATAAATAGTTCTTTTCTGATATCTATATTAGCTTTGATTTTATTTAAAAAGTTCATTCCAATAATTACTGAGTATGTTTTTGCTTTAGTAATATTTACTTCAATAGGAATCATAATTTTATCAATATTCAAAAGTAGGTTATCAATAGTATCAAGAGATTGTTTAGATATATTATTTATATTTAATATTAAAATATTTAAACTGCATTATATTTTTAATCCTATATTTTTAATAAAGTTATATGTATTAATACATCTAAAGGTATCAGTATCAATAATTAAATTAATAATATTCTTTCTAACTTTTGCTTCACATTAGGCAGATGTAATTTTGAGTTTTTATTCAAGTAATACTCTTCTTTTTCTTTTTGGTTTGAGTGCTATAACTCAGTATATTCCTTTTGATAATTGAGTTTTTTGTGATGATGAGATTTGAATAAGTTGAGCAATAGTTATATTTGCTTTCTGATAAGCCAAATCTTCTAGAATATCATAAGATTTAGTCATAATAGCGAGTATAGATAAAGCAATTTTACTTTTCTTCTTGTGAATAATCTTTTTAGCAAGTTCTTCTTCAAGAGTTTTAGATGATCCAGCATTATTCATATCTTGA